GCCATCCCTCGTAATTTAATATTAGAATATTCGAGAAAGTTTAGGGGAGATCACTCCCGGTTTATTTAACCTTGAGACCCAAACAAAAGGTTTTTTTTCAAGATGTCCGCCGTCGCTAATGACAACCATAAGTTATGAAGAGTCCCTGATGCATGCACATATTTTCCCTTAAGTAAAAAAAAAAGCTTGTTACCTAAACAGTGTTTTTTTAAAAAGAAAAATAGAATATAATCGAGAAGAAAACATAGTTGCGTACCAAAATGAATGTAAAACATCCATGCATCATTGAGCGGAATATTAGTACTTTATCAAGGAAATTTTGATTAATTAAAAAAAGTTAATAAACATCTTATCAGGTCATTACTATCAAGTAAAGAAAAATTTCCCTTTCAAACCTGACGTCTATGAAGTTGAGTTCAGTGTGGTCAACACTATGCCCAGCCGCCTTTACTTTCCCTAACGTATAGCAGTCGAGCTCTCTACCGCTAGACCACTCCGTCTATCAATTCTTTACCTACTTGAAAAATTTGAAAGAAATCGGTCAAGTAGAACTGATATATTTTGAGAATTCGGAAATACCATAAAGTACTACCTATACAATACTAAATATACAATTTCTTTCACCTAAACGAAATTGTACTTACGTTATCGATATTTTAGAAACCGTTCGTAGATTAAAATACCACTAATCCAAATATAACATCTTATACTTATGTATGGTATTTTGTCTATCTACCATGTTGCACTAAAAATGTGAAATTTTGTCCATGTAACTGAAATGGTGCTATAGTTATTGGCTTTTGAGAAACCGAAAGGAGAGTAATTACAATTTCCGTTTATTTTGGAAATCGCTAAAATTTGATATAGAACTACTAATTTGGTATAATACTTATAAGAAATCTTGCCAACGTAATTGAGATGTCTCTTAAGTTATCGTGTACACAAACAGACACTAACAACTTTATCCATGTTACTCGTCAAAATTTATTAAAATATTGATTTTTTGCACGGTTATAATAAATCAATTATATTCCGTATACGATTAGGTAGGCAGGTTAAAACGGCAAAACTGTCAATAGTTCATTTAGTTTTTGTGCACGATGACAATACTTCCCCCAAACTCCATTTACGAGAAAGTAAAAAAAGCCAAATATCTGCAGAAATACAATGCGATATCATAACATTTCGGCTCTAATTGATTTAATGAAATTATGATTGCAGGTTCTATAAACGAATATAAACATGTGACTATATACCCCCATTAAAAAAATAATGAATGAAAGCTGCAGGTACAAATGCGGAGACCATACCCTTATAAATGACACATAAGGTTTAATCAGAGTTTTCTCACTTTTCAGACACAGTCTACCTAGTCCCAGTGGCGTAGCGAGGTCGGGTGTCACCCGGTGCGGCACTTAATGGTGTCACCCACCCAAAGGCGTAGCGACCCTTCCCGAGGACAAATTTTCGATTTGCATCCCCCTCCCTCAAACTTTTGATTTGCACCCCCCTCAAGTTTTTCTCTATATTTTTTTGCTATTTTTTGCCTTGGTGTTACCCCCCTAAATGGTGTTACCATAATTTTGCAATCTTGTCCGTATGTCTCTGTGTGTGTGTGTGTGTGTGTCTGTGTGTCCGTGTGTAAACACGATTACTTGAGTACCGTTACAGCTAGGTTGATGAAATTTCATATATAAGTATTTTATCAAAATCGTAGATCCGTATCAACTTTTGAGCGATTTCCAATAACCGGAAGTGGTACTTTTCCTGCTTTGAATTTTTCAAAAGCCTATAACTTGAGTACTATTTCAGATAGATACATGAAATTTCACATGTAAGTAAAAGATCTAATTCTCTACCTTCTGTTAAATTTTGAGTAATTTCCGTTGACTGGAAGTAGTAATTTACGCTACTTTCGATTTCTCAAAAAACTAATGTAAATTTTAGAAGTACTAATAATATTGCGCACTATTATGCGCTTTTTTATTTGGCGTTCACTTGGTGTGCAATTAATTTGTCTACGAGATTTTATTCTATTTTTAAAACTTTAAGTATTTAAAATGGATTAAAAATCATGTCTATAGCCCGAGTTCCCATCCCCTGTTATTTTATATAAGAATATTCGAGAAAGTTTAGGGGAGATCACTCCCGGTTTATTACATATTATTACTTATACGTGGTATATTTTTACAATTGCACAAGACAACAACATGTTTTATTGAGAGAAGTTCACTTGTAACCTTACAAACATCCAATAGCTATGTGGATAGCTACCTTGGAGTATTGTATTTATAAGCGGAGGACAATGCTAACGATGTTTTTGTGGCCGGGTTGTAGGAGAGAAATGAGAAAGGAAAGTTAGCTCTTTTTTTTTCTTGAAAATTGTGAGTTTCCTAGAAAGCTAAACTAAGATCAAAATTTAATGCCTATCCGATTTTAATTTTAAAGCTGCTAATGATGTTCAAGTAAGCCGGATGGACACGATCATTACTGTTGGCATGACCTCAGAGGCGTAGCCAGGAGGGGGGGGGGGCGGGGGTGCGGATCGCACCGGGTGACACCATTTAGGGGGTGACACCAAGGCAAAAAATAGCAAAATATATAGCGAAAAATGATAATCGAGTGTTAAATAGAGTTTTAAGAGGTGCAAATCGAAAGTTTGAGGGGGTGGTGGGAGGGGGGGGGGGCAAATAGAAAGTTTGAGCGGTGGGGGGGGGGGGGGGGGTGCCAATCGAAAGTTTGAGGGGGGGGGCGAGGTGCAAATCGAAAATTGAAAGTTTGTCCCCGGGAAGGGCCGCTACGCCTTTGGGGGGGGGGGGGGGGTGACACCATTAAGTGCCGCACCGGGTGACACCAGACCTCGCTACGCCACTGCATGACCTAAATATTTGTTTTTGTACACTTTTTTACAACCTTAAATTGTAATTTATAATAGATTAAAACTAAAGAAGAAACATAAAGAAGTATAGTATTTAAAGAATTTATTTTATAAATTTCGCTACTGCATAAAACTTGAAAGTTATAGGATTGCTCTAAAGGCTACAAAAATCTATTGACAGATACGAACCAGATATTATGTTACAAAGATGCAGACGCGTAGCGACCATTCCCGGCGCCCGGGGACAAACTTTTCGATTTGCACCTCCTCAAACTTTCGATTTCCACCCCCTCAACCTTTCAATTTATTTTTCCAACCCATTTTGGCGCCCCTAAGGTCGGCGCCCGGGGACATATGTTCCTTCCCCCGCCCCCACCTCGCTACGCTACTGCTAAGATGTTGCACTTTTGTAAGAGATAATTTGATTGGCTGTCATTTAATCAGAGCCATAATTATTTTTTTTTCAATAGACCCTTCTCCCTTTCGGTTATATCTTATTTATATTATTCAATGTTAGTATGACCGAACTGAAGCTATTTATCATTTATTTAAATTATATAACGATGAAAACATTAACATGAAAAAAAATTCTTTAAAAAATTTGTTTTCAACATTTGGTTGAGTAACCGAAAACACTAATAACTACAAACACGTTCACTCTGTAAAAAATTCATACAGTACCACACAACGGTACTTTTTTTCCACATAATTAATCTCTCCTTTTGGAGTTTTCTGGGCATTGTGCCACGAATTGTTAATGTATAGCAGGTTGTGTTTTTTTAAAGTTCTAATGAACCTAAAGAAATCCCATTTAATTTTAAACTGCTTAATTCTAACTAAACGTGACGAATGCAACCGGAATTATTCTTATATTGTGTTCTGATTGGTTGTATGGGTTATAAATTGTGTAATAATGTGCTTAAATTTGTTCATCGAAATATTTAGATTTTGTATCATATACTTTGAAAGCAGCATATTTTATGAACGTTTCGTCTATATATGTTTTATTGAATAAGAAGCCCGATTCCACAAGAAGTATAAGCTCAACCCTTTCTGTTATATTATGGGAGTGGTCTAGCGGTAGAGAGCTCGACTGCTAACCCGTAAGTTGGAGTCCGGGTTCTAGTCCACTCAACTCTAATGGGTATTTAACTCACGTTAGGGAAAGTAAAGGCTGTTGGGCATAGTGCTCACCACACTATCTCTTTATATGCCGAGGTCACAGAAACAAGTGAACTCAACTTCACTAGCCCCATAGACCGTCAGGTTTGAAAGGGAAACTCTACTTTTTTTATGTTATATATATATAAGAATATTTAAATTTATTGAATCTCATTCTCGCTTAACTTGCTCTCTTAAAAAAACATTCAAACCTTTTGAGACCACAGGCTCGTTAAATATGGGCTCCAACTGACACAGGTTAATTATTCTACACATAACATTGTGTTCTCTGGAATAATTGTATTTCCTTCGTGTTTTCGTAGCCCAATCCCCATAGATTAAATAACTTATTGATTGAGTGAAGAAAATAATTATTTCTATTTCTTTATGTATTGCAGTGTTCCGCCGAGGCTTCATCGTATAAAACGGTGTCACCTTGTGTTGTGAGCACTCCCGATCTAATGCAATAGCATTATGGGATTTTGCTTTTTAAAAAAATAAATGCATTTCAAACGTTTTTATATCCCCAAGTTCTTCTTGCATATATACACTCCGCAGACCACCAATCAACATCAGCAGGCAGGCACTAAGGTGAAATCGGTTTACTTTTTTACCTTCTAGTATTCTAGTTTATTATGTTTTTATACAACCTTTATGTACCGGTAATAAATTAAAAAATTCATTAAGTATACGTAAAAAAAAAAGAAGAAAAAAGCAGAAAAAAACAGCTGTTGTTGCATTTTGGGGGTTGGAACGGATTCATGGCAATTCATTTGATTTCGATGGAAAAAAATCGCTTTGAGATACGGATACGAACAATTTGGAATACAAGCAATGACAACGTGTGTAATAAATTCGTATCTCCATGTCCCAATGTGTTATTCGTCCATCCATGCCATCACATTCTCTTAATAAAAAAAAAATAATAGTTTAGAATAAAACAACACTTAAATTGTTTTTTGATCAAGTTTATTCGTTATCTAAGCATATCCACCATGCATAGATAAACGAACGAGGAAATCTACCTGGAGGGTTTACGCACTTTCATCTCAATGAAGCTCAAAGATTGGTAGAATGTAGTTACAGGGCGGAAGTTTAACCCTTGACCGTATTGTACGTTTCCGTGTTGTCCATTGATGTTCATTGTGTGACAGCCGTTGTACCACCATCCACCGTGGAAGCAACGTGCGCAGTTGTCGCCTGAATATGCGTCATTATCTCTGTCTATGGTGGTGAATGAACGACCGTTAAGGTGCCTAAAATAGTTGGTTGCATTTCCTGTGTAGTTTCCAACTGTCATCCTGTACAAAGCAGCCTCATTTTGAACACTGAAATTTCCGTTCCCAGTGTAGTAGGATCTACCTTCAAATTTCAGGTCGAACCTCACTTCGTTGTAGCCCTTAATTATGGTAAAGTTTAATCACAATATTTTAATAACGTGTGTAGATTTATGATTATGTGCTTATTTCTTTTATATGTTTTGTGTTTATATTTGAGAGTGTATGTACAAACCACCCCTCCATGTACACGAGTATATGTTTATGCTTATTTGACGAACGCATTAAATAAATGAAAGCCTTGTACTTTACCGCTTGGGTTAGTTGTGAGATGAAGTCATTTCCAATCCAAAAGTCGCCATCCAATGAGCCAAACCCATTTTTGTAATCGGCCCAGTTTCTCCTGAAGTTCACATCGAAATTGAATCTACGCTAAATGCAAAATTAAAAAAAATAATAGTGCAGTTAAGTACATTAAATAATACATTGAAACTACCTTGTGTACCCTAATTGTTTTCATTAATTATCAGTGGTCCCACTCAGCGGCGTCGCGAGAGTGGGGGGGGGGGGTGCTCTAGATGACGCCATTTAGGGCGGTAACACAAAGGCAAAATTGCACCAACTAAACGTTTCCAAAATGTGCATGAGGAAAAGGTTTTCTTGAGCAATGTAATGACACGTCAAGCCGAGCCTGTGGTAGGGGTGACATCAAATTTAATAATTTACCACAAACACAATGATTTTTCCACTTGAATCAATAACTAATATAGTTAGGCCCCTAAGTGTTTTTTCTAGGTGTATTAATATTATATTTGCAGAAATTATCGAATCTCGACAAAAAGTTGGGGGGGGGGGGGGGAGGGTGACACCGAATACACAATCCATCGAAATGAATTAGGGTGGCACCACAATGTAAATTTTAAAATCTACATATCCTTCGATTAAGCTTACATGTGTGTGCATGTAAGTGTGTGTGTGTGTGTAAGTGTGTGGAGTAAGGTGACTGACACCAGTAGAATAATAGTTATATATTTGATTGTGCTTAATAAGTAGTTGAGTTGTTATCTATGATGTGTGATATGTTTAATAGGTTATTTTTCTATTGCTATTACAAGTTGTGTAATATGTGGCTTAAATCAATGTATTGTTTCCATGGAAAGAGAGTTTATAATAAAGAGATATATTTACAAATAAATAGTTGGCTTGCCACATTGACACATGTTGACTCTTTTCGTCAGCTTAAGTTTATAAAACAATAATCATTTTGATCATTTTGATCATTAAATGTTGTATATTTTGCAATGGAATATGTTAAATTATAATAATTTGTTCACAAATTTAGTATACCCTTAAAAAGCTATTAGCGGAATCATACGTTGTAAAAAAAGTATTTGGTCGCTACGTAACTCAATTCCTATAAAAAAAAACTAAAAAACAACAACTGAGATTCAGTCCACAATGGGCTGCTTTAAAAAAATAAAAATGCACAAAAACAAATTATATTGAAATACATATACACATGCGTATACAGAGACTTACATATGTATGTTGCTTATATATATATATATATATATATATATATATATATATATATATATATATATATATATATATGAATATTTGTATGTATATATATATGCAAGTGAATATATATATATATATATATATATATATATATATATATATATATATATATATATATATATATATATATATATATATATATATATAGTGTACTGTTCTTTAGGATTCAATAATTGTAATTTTTTAAAGTTGCTTGTAATTCAATAATATACATTAAAATGATCCTGCAATTAAAAATGGCCTGCATTTAAAAAGTGTCTGAATTGCGAATCTGTAAATAAAGGTGACCTGTATTTCAATGATACCTGAATTACAATTGTTTGATTACTAGTGACCCGTATTTCAATGATACCTGAATTACAATTCTTTGACTACTAGTGACCTGTATTTCAATGATACCTGAATTACAATTCTTTGATTACAAGTGACCTGTATTTCAATGATACCTGAATTACAATTCTTTGATTACTAGTGACCTGTATTTCAATGATACCTGAATTACAATTCTTTGATTACTAGTGACCTGTATTTTGAAGATACCTGAATTACAATTCTTTGATTACAAGTGACCTGTATTTCAATGATACCTGAATTATAATTCTTTGATTACTAGTGACCTGTATTTCAGTGATACCTGAATTACCATTCTTTGATTACTAGTGACCTGTATTTCAGTGATACCTGAATTACAATTCTTTGATTACTAGTGACCTGTATTTTGAAGATACCTGAATTACAATTCTTTGATTACTAGTGACCTGTATTTCAATGATACCTGTATGAGGATCCACCCACCGCCGTCCGATTCAGTGTCACAGAGAACAAGTTTCCCCCCGAGTGACTTGAACAGTTCTCTACTTTTCATGCAGGGCGTCATATGTTTTTGTTCACATGCTGGGTGTTTGTCCTGAAATCAAATTTAAATTAAAATTAAAAAAAAAAAAACACCATCAAAAATATTTTTTTTTACCTTGGAACAAACACATATAATCTATATATATAATTCTCTTCTTGGAGACGTTAGAAAATACCAAGCTGTAAGCGCGCCTAGCAGTCCCCTCTCTTCCTCTCTAGGCATATCGCAACCACCCCCACCCCCACATTGTCTGGTTAGCTGTGGTTCACGCAAAATGTTTACCATCGTAGAGCCGGGTTCAGTGACGGCTATTAGGGGCAGATAATTTAGTTTAAAACTATTTTAAACTAAGCGGAGGTAACTAAGAGGAGGCTGTTTTCACGGGGGGGGGGGAGGGTTTTAGTGTTTTCAAGCAAATATTTTCAGTGACAGCATTGGTACTGTCGAATTCACAAATTATGAATTACTGAAAAGTAGAGCCTCGGGTCGGCTCGCACAAAATAAAATAAAAAATAATTTCATGGTGGGTGTGCTGACGGTTATATGTAGGTTAGAAGTCAAGCAGGCGAAAGATAGAATACCGTCGGTCTGGTAGATCAGGTAGACATGGATCAGTTAAGGTGAACCAATAGAATTGTCGCAGGAGATGACCGGTCACGTGCTGACCATGGACTTGTGGGCAGTTGGAGAAAAATATCATTAGAGATGGTTTGATTAGTAGAGTATTAGCAGTTAGGCGTGTTTAGGATTAGAAGTTAAATTATTGTATTGGGAGACAGTTGAGTCTGACTGCAGATTGGTTAGATAGGAGTAGGAGATACATTTATGTGTAAATAAAGAACAGCATAGTTTTACATTGAATTGGACCTTTAGTGTTTGTTTCCAACAAACTGAGTCAGGCTACATTTTAAAGAAGACGATAACACGGTATTATCGCCGGACTGGATGTGTATTACAGTATACATGATGGTATACAATATATAAATACATATCTCCCCGAAAACCCTCCCCTCACAATACGCATAATCTGTATGTACTTAAAAACTAATTATGATATTCCTAGTGATTTATAGGGCAGATGAAGTAAAAGTTCATATGTTTCTTATCCTCGGAAGAGGAAGCGATAGTGTGGTCAGCACTATGCCCATCTTCCTTTACTTTGCTTTATGTGAGTTAGGTACCAATCAGAGCTGGGTTCAACGATCTTGATTCGAACTCGTGACTTTTGGATTAGCAGCCGAGCATTCTATTGATCATACACATTCGAAGAGAATACTACAGGAAGAGAAGAGTACAGGAGGATTCCCTATACACCAATTTATCTATGTTGTAATCCTCCGCATTATGTGTGGAATGGGTCTAATTGTATTTGCTTATAAACATAATTTTTAAAAATTACATTTTTGTTTACAAATTAAATCTCACGTTTTTGTTTAATGATAATTGAAATTATAAAAACGAGCCGACCCGCCTATTATCATACGTCGATGATACGCCGCTATTTTGTTGTTTTATTTTCTACTTTTCAGTGATTCATAATTTGTGAATTCGACAGTACCACTGCTTTCACTGAAAATATTTGCTTTAAAACACTATTAGTAAGTCGTTAAGGACGATACCCCCACCCTCCTTTCACCCAACTCCTAACCCCCCCTCCGTAAAAGCAGCCTCCTCTTAGCTACCTCCCCTAAGTTTAAAATCGTTTCAAACTACATTATCTGCCCCTAATAGCCTTCACTAAACCCAGCTCTATGATTGTAAACATTTAGCGTGAACCACAGCTCACCAGACTTTCTAGAGAGGAAGAGATGGGACTGCAAGGCGCGCCTACAACTTGTTTTCTAACGTCTCCAAGAAGAGAATTATATATATAGTTGTTTTATTTTCTACTTTTCAGTAATTCATAATTTGTGAATTCGACAGTACCAATGCTGCCACTGAAAATATTTGCTTTAAAACACTAACCCCCCCCCCTTTCCCCTAACCCCGACCCTACACCACTCCCCCCCCGTGAAAGCAGCCTCCTCTTAGTTATTTCTTAGTTACCTCCTGTAAGTTTAAAATCGAACTAAATTATCTGCCCTTAATAGAAACCCGGCTCTACGGCTCTACGATTTGTAAACATTTAGCTTTGTAAACATTTAGCGTGACCACAACTCACCAGACAATGTGGGGGTGGGGTTGGTAGTGATAGTGATAAAGAGAGGGGACTGCAAGGAGGCGCTTGCAGCTTGTTTTCTAACGGCTCCCAGAAGAGAATTATATATATAGATTGATACTTTCTAATATTAGAATAAAAGTTAGACGTACTTGTCCATGGTTTGCTCTACAGTATTGTCTACTGCTGCAGCGACTTGTCTTTGTGCTTTGCGGTCCTTATGGAGTATTTTATACAGTTAAAAGAAATGAAATTATTTTACATAATAAAATGAGCCGATTTCACTGAATAATCAATTTATGTCTAATTATGTTTATAATGTTAAGTCTGTAGGTAGCTTAAATTTAAACAAAGGATTAGTTTTCATCCAAATAGAAAACACAACTTTTTAATTAACCCACACATTCAGACAAGGTTATTTGTTTTACAATAGACGCCCTTACAATAGGAGAACATTAAGGATTTTTTTCAAATATATAATAATTATACACTACTATTTGAATAACCATAAAGAAAAGCGTGGGCCTCTTTTTACTAAATAGTGGTAAAAGGTATCAAATAGATAATATAGTGAGCTACTTGACTTAAGCTCATGAAATTAAAAAAAAAGATCCTTATCGTCGAGTATTGATAAATAAAGACTGATCCTAATGTACAAAAAAGTCTTATCTTCATTTAATGATAATTTAGGAATTATCCGCATGTACTGATATACTATGACTTATGCGCGTCTACTAATATACTATGACTTATCCTCATGTAAAAAAAAAACAACCATTTTCCTTATTTAATAATAGACGGAGACTTACCCACTGTGACTTATCTACTTGCACCTATAAACTATGACTTATCTACATGCACCTATAAACTATGACTTATCTGCATGCACCTATAAACTATGACTTGTCTGCATGCACCTATAAACTATGACTTATCTGTATGCACCTATAAACTATGACTTATCTTCGTGCACCTATAAACTATGACTTATCCGCATGGGCCTATAAGCTATGGCTTATCTACATGCATCTATACATTATAACTTATCTGCATGCACCTATAAGCTATGACTTATCTGCCTGCACCTATAAAATATTACTTATCCGTATGCACCTATAAACAATGACTTATCTTCATGCACCAATAAACAAACTTACCACTATAGCTATTTGCATTTGGGCTATGAAACTCTTGCATGAACATCAGAACAGCGAGAAGCAAGCTCACGTAGTCCATCCTTGTGTTCAGCTAGACGAGCAGACGGTAGTGCGCCTAATAATGCCAGTAGCAGCTTAATTATCTCTTCACGTGACCTGTAATCGGATCACGTGTTTAAAAGAAATTCGTTTGGTTTCTTGCGACATGTGCTCTCAAAATAATCTACTGTCCAAGTTGTTACGCAATCACAAGGAGCGGAGATTGAACTCGTCGTTTTTGCTAGGTGTTATTTTGGGGGGAAAATACTTTCAATAAATTGGTGAAAATTTCAGATGGTATTTTTTAAGGCTAGTTCTCACCCATTCCTTCCCCTCTTTATGTCTTAGCAGCACGAAAGTAAACAATGGTTTTCTCCCCTAATTTATCATAATCCAATGAGGCGGAATAAAACTAACTATGGCGGCGGATTTGGTAACAGTTTTGTTTTCTGATCGCATGGAGTGCTAAAAATATTGTGTTTTTATAATTGTTTTTAATGAAAAAGGTTAGGGATTCGAGACATACAAATAGGAAAGCTTCCTTTTAAATAAAATAACAAAACAACAACACACAACAAATATGATGTCAAATGTCAAGCACTTTATTTTGTATTTCATATACGGCCTAGCGGTAGAAAGCTAGACCGCTAGATCTGCTGATTTGGAAAAAAAAACCATAAAAAAAACCCCGACAGTAGGCTATTTTAGAGCTTATTTCGCCAGAAACCAAACAAATTAACACCTGATCGGATTACAGGCCACGTGACAGCACTATTAATAAACTGCTCACATTATTCGTTAAATAACGGTCTAGATAAGGGGTCTTCAAATTACGGCCCGCGGGCCGGATGCGGCCCGCGATATCCTCTCATCCGGCCAGCGGAGTTTTTTTTTTGTCCACGGAAAAAACGTTTGTTGGTGATGGCTGAGGAACTTTGCCCAGAAAAATCAATGACATGCCTGGAAGAAACTGGCTCCCGAACTGAAATTTGATAGTTAATGCGGCCCTCGGACTGAAAAGTTTGGAGACCCCTGGTCTAGATGGCTAGCTGGACACACTGAAGAATGCATGCCATCTCGGAGTCAGTCCGTACTCATTTTAAGGAAAGAAAAACGGCTAGGCATAGTGCTCACCACACCCTCCCTTCATCTACCTCATGAGCCGTTAGGTCATTAAGGAGACCTCAACTTTTAAAAAAAAATGTGTGTTACACTGAAAATGTAAGCGAACTACAGATAGACTTAAGTTTAACATCAGTTTGTCGGCAAACTGCGAATTTTATAGAAAAAAGAACACAACTAGAAATTATACGTGAGATGAATTATAATAAAACTACAGGTCATCTCAACTAGGTTCAATATAATACCATCCTACTTCAATAAATTTGTT